ATATATATATATATATACACACACACATATATATATATATATATATATATATATATATATATATATATGGATACAACGGTCGATAATTGAATAGGGGATCGCACATATATCAGTGATTCAGTACTGCTCAGAGAACTCTCCACTTGATACTCCTTGTTTAAAACGTTTTCACTTGCCCCTCCCTATCCGACAACTTCAAATTAACAATAATAATAAAACGTTAAATCCCAATAATATAAATAACAAGGTAATAATAATAAAAGCACGCAATGGACCCATGCACAAACAAACACGAACTCAAACATCAGACACCCACCACCAACACACCCACCCCATTGACACTGTTGACATGCGACCACTGGCAACACACACATGTCAAACAACTCCATGTCGGTTGTGCCACTCCGTGTGCACAACCGACATGGAGAGCCCGCCAGATCGCGTTGTCATGGCAACAGGTGCGACGTGTGTCATTTGTAGGTATGATCACAAAGAGATATTGTCAGAGAAGTGATAGACATCCACACGTGCGCACAGGTGTATCTTTAACAACAAGTGCACACACGCAATGCAATGGACGTACACACATGCAGCCAGCAATGCCATAAACAATGGACACTCATACAGGCCGAAGTACGCCTGGACCACACATATACGACGCCATGCAAGTACTTAACCCATATATATATATATACAAAGATAGACATCTTGATACATCACGCGCACACACCTTGATCACGCCTTTAATATGAGACCGCCTCTTCTCAAACGAGTCTTCATTGAGTGCCATCAGCTGCTGCCGCCCATCTGCCTGACATGTGCGCGTGAACGGTTGTCTGTCGATCAATTGGAAGTCGGCCTGGTTCTTCACATGGCGTACAAATTCGGTTTCGATAGCCGGCTGATAGGGGTTTGGGTGGGCAATATTGGATTGGAGTGTTGATAGACAGATGGATATAGGTAGGTCTATATATATATGATTGAAATGGAGTATATATATAGGTATATATAAGTGTCAATAGTTAGACTTATATACATACCAATACAATAGTATATATATATATACATATATATATATATATATATATTTAAATGTATATATATATATATATATATATATATATATATATATATATATATATATATATATATATATATATATATATATATATATATATATATATATATATATATATATACTA